TTTGGAAATGCTCCCACATTCCTGTTCTAGACATTTCTGCCATTCATATAGAGCAGAGCTCCGTAATTTAGTCTAGGCAAAAGCAGTCTACTAACTCTATATATGTTTTAAATACAAAATAGCTGGTCAAAATAAAAGAAGTAAATATGTTTATTACATTTTTTAGTCTTTTTATTGGTATTTTAACAATAAACAAGTATATTTGCTTCAGCGGCAATTTTATTTGTTATAATCAATGGTCGTTATAATGGACATTTAATGCCTCTGTATAGGAATTTCTTAGGCAAACAAAAAGAGGCGCTTATCTTTTAATTGTCTTTATTTATTTATGTACAAAAACTTCTTCAAACAAGTTTGCTTTCATGCAAAATTTCTCCACTATTAACTTTCTAAACGTTGAAGTTCTTACATCTAATCATGATTTTTGGAGGTTTCCTCCATAACTGTCAAAAAGTTTGCTGACAAGCCCTTTTGTCGATTTTTTTTCTCTTCTTCGTTGTTCTTTTTGATGAAGGTCTATATTAAACTCCTTTCATTGTTGACATCAAAAGTTAGGGTTCTTATTTCTCTCAATCCATTGAAATTTTTCTTTTCTTTTAAGCTTTTGTAATCAGTTAGAAAATTCGTCGCTCTATTCACTACACAAAAAGAAATTTTTCTGTTAAACATGTTTTTAACTAAGATAAAAGAACATACACAATTTATCTTTACTTAGAATTTCTAAATTATCTGTTATATTGTTTCCATTATTTGAAAGGGGAAAAATGAGTGTATTAATATATAGATCTTTCTGAATTTGAAGAAAGGAAGAAAAAAAATGTCTACAAATTTTGGAAAAGGATTTTTTTCTTCTAAAAGCTTAAAAATTGCTGTAATATACGTTTTAATTAACAGCTTATTGTGGTTTTTCTTTGTTAAACACTGATTTCAAGAAATAACCTTCAATTAAATAAACTGAAGGCATGTCATCTCATTATATGCACACACAAAAAGTTTGTGTGTAATAACTATTTTTTCTTTTATTTTTATTTCCTTCCATTTCGGTCTGTGCAACTGGCAACATTCTTAATTCAAAAAAGAATAATTTCCTTCTAAAGAAATCAAACATTTTACGGTAAAAAAATTTAAAAAAAAAAAAAAAAAAAAAAAACGACATATTTATGATAGTAGAACCTTGGTTAAAGTAAAAAGAGCACAATTATTATTCTGAGAACCGGTATGAATCACGGGTGTGATCGCTAACCACTGACCACTATATGGCGCTAATTTCCCAATGAGGTGTTTTAAACACTAAAATCTATTATTGTGTACTATATAGGTTAATTCCATGAATAATTTGCTACAAATGTAACTGCTATTTCTACTATTAATTAAAAATATAAATGTTATTTAACATAAAAATTCTAAATTAACAAAATTTAACAATTATTATTATTTTTAAAATTTTTTAATGAAATAAAAATGAAGTTTGAATTTATATATGCAGTAGATTAAGGTCAGATCATCCTTCTTAAATTCATTGACATGCAATAGAGAGTAACTTTTTCTCACTTATCTGACATTGAATCTTATTGTGCAATAATAGAGATCAACGTTTTATGAATTTTCAGAATCGTGGGTTAATGATAAAAGCAGGGAAGATTCTAAAATATTATGGACCGAAATAAAATCTTATAAAATATATTTATTCCATACCGAACCCTAAATTGCCTCCGCTGTGTCAGGAGTTTTGTTGTCCAATATAAGTTGTTGGAGGGATAATTTGAAGGGTGTAGGGCAGAGAGCAAACAGTACTCAAAACAGTACAGTTTCAAAACTAAATAGTTTGATACCCAGTATAATATTTGCGAAATGAGCCGAGTAATGTTACATCGAATTATGGATTCGTTTATAAGAAAACTCGACGATTATATGTTTTTATTCTCAAGGCATCACGTTCCTTTAAAAGCCATGTTATAATTTTAACATGGCTTTTAAAGGAACGTGATTATACTTATTCACACAGTTTATTTTTACATACTAAAGGTGTATTCAAATCCTCCCAAGTATGTTTTGATCACAGCAATTTCTACACAACAATCTTAGTTCTCTATAAAGCTTGACACCGAAAGGATTTAGAAAGAGGAATTTCGTCGCTTATGCTAAATTTCTATCATAAGCAAATGTCTATTTTTTTTCAATCGATGGAAACTGAATTAAATTTATATCAATAGCTACCTTAGTATACTATATGTCAATTGATACATTTAGAACTTTTGCAAAGAATGCCAATCCACGTGGAAAAGGGTAAAAATAATTTTTTAGCCTTATGCACATTAATGATTCATTATGCATTAATTGGAGCATAGGAGCACTACGCCACTGTATCCGAGATTTACATAGATGTGTGTGTTTCATTATGAGGATAGGGGGGCTTATTTACATCCACAAGAATTCGATCATCTACGCATAATTAAAAATCTAGATTAGTTTTTATTAAATACTTCGAAAACATAGTAGAAATTTTAAAAAATTGGCTACATTATGATTTTACATAGATTAAAAGTACTCGTATATACAAATTACGATTTCTAAAAACATCTCCCCCATTGGAATATTAATATTGAAATCTCTATAGTTGTTAATATGAATATAGTATGGCTCAACGTAAGTATTACAATTTCTATAACATATAAGACTTCAGCAGACAGTCAAGTATGTCTATTTTAATATGGCTCACGATTCGTGAGGAAAAAATCCATAATGCAAGAGGTAAAATCTCCACATCAAACGATTAAGTATATATTTAGTTCCCTTTTAGAATTTGTTACTTTAGGATACCGGGTTAACGAGCTTATAATTCCCGGTGAGTAAATATTTAAAAATTTTTGACAATTTTAAATCTTTTGAACTCACAAAACAATTGATTGCATTTGCCTACTTGAATTTCAGTAATTCGATACGGGCAAAATTGATGATACACAATCCCCCTAAGTACCAGTTTTCCAAACAATAATAAAAGTTCATCTAAAAAAAACCGCATGAAAAACATTGAAAGTGTCTTACAAAAAATGTATTTTTGAAGAAAGAAAATGGTTTCTAAACAATTTCAAAAGCAATCGAACCGATGATTTGTAAGCTTTAACACTTACTTTAAATCTCTTGATTTAATGAGCTTATATCTTGATTTAATGAACACAGCGAAGCGAAATTCTCTGGTATTTATTATATGATTGAGAAATATGTAATATAAAATTGAAATGAGGACGACCGCGTGAGATGAGTGTTCGACTTATAGGCGACTATGGAGATGTTCAATAAGTAGCGAAACATTAACCAATATTTTATTAATTGCATTTCAAATCTAATTGATTAATTTTTTTTTCATAATAGGAAGGCAAAAGTTTCAGCTCAACAACATCATAAAAAGAATGCTTACGTTATTTTTTCTAATGTCGTTAAACTCTTATAAAAACAAATTTAAATTGAGAAGAAAACAATTTCAGACTCACAGTTTTCTTATGGGTATAGCAAGAGATATCTTTGAAATGGTTTATGCATTAGAAAATGCATCAACTAAAAAAACAAACTTTTTAAAATGTATTTACGATTTTCAGAAAATTTTTGCAGCAATATGCTTAACGAAATCAATAAATTTATCATCCTTAAGTGTTCCTTAGTAACCTTAAGTGTTCATAAGAGAGCATAATGCAATTTTTTTCAATTAATTTCACTAATTCTTTGTCAAAGTAAATATGGGTGTAGCAGTGTCTAAGGGCATCCTGTATTAACAGGATAGGAAATTTTTTTTTTTATGATTGCAGCGATTTGAAGCATATAACTGTCATCATATTAACTAAACTTTATTTACCATCATATTTTTGGAGTTAAGATTAAACATATAATTACTGTTTCCATTTTACAATAAATTATAGTTCCTAATATTTAAATTTTTTTTTTGGTATCTCTGGTATTTATTTGGTATTCTTTTGGGATTTGGTAGTTACATTTTACACTCAATAATATAAAAAAATACAAATTTAAAAAAAAAAAAAAACCCCATTTAAAATTAAGATGGTATTTGATCTGAGATAATGAAATTAAGAAGAAATTAAAAATTTCCGATTGTAGTAAAATGAAAGAACCAATATCTTTTTTTTTTCACATTGTGGATCAGAGCGGCTATTTTCTTTCAATTTGTTTTCTATATTACTGTAGAAGTGAAATCAAGTAGATGGAGAAAAAATTTTTTAGACTAACTGATGCTGCCCTCTATTGACAAAAAAGGCTTAACATCTTATAACAGTTTTCATTACATATTTTAATTTTACTTTAATAAACAACAGCATTATTTATAATACCTTTTTTCTTAATATGAAATGAAAAGTTTATGTGTTCTTTAATCTAAATTTTAAAAGTTTACTCAAACTATATTTAGACAAAATTAATTTATTATTATTTTTTGAAATTTTATTAATTGATACTGAAAGCTGGAAGAAAGTGGAAAAAAATATCCAGAAGAAACTGAATGGACTGGAGGAAACTAAAAACAACCAATATATTGTTTACCAATATGAAAATACTATGAAAATAATTTAAAATTAAATAAATAAATTTTGAAATTTAATTTTCGTTAAAAAAAAGTTATGATATTTTAACAGTTCTTTATAACAATAAAAATAAGTTTTACTACATTCCTTTGCATAAAACATCTGCAGTTATTTAAATTTCTTAATTAAATCATTATTACTATCATTAATTCATAATTTCCTAATTAGTTCATAACTTTTAATTTAAATTGTTTATTTTTCAATTATTTAAAAATGATGTATTAGATAGCTTTGTTATTAGTCCAATTTTATTAATACTATTATATAATCCAGTCGTTAACTGCAATAAAATTGTTTAAATAGCTGATACTTCTTTTTTAAAAAAGAATTTCTTTCATTTATTCCACTTGGATGGGAAGAAACCTATCTTTTCTGAAGTGGTGTCTTCTACTGTGAAAAAAAAAATGGTCATAACTGATGCTAATTTAATTATTTTTTACTACTAGCATACCTAGCACATACATGAAGCAAATTCATAACTTATTATAAGCACTAGAATTCTTTGAAAAATGCAAAAAGAATATGAATTAATTCATAACATCTATTACATACTTTAAAAGATGTTTTTATTAAAACATTTGTAATTTAAAGGATAAAAGATGACATATTTGTATAGAAATTTTGGCGATACATTAAAAACATTTATTTCATTATCTCTCTTTGTACAAACAGAATAAGTCGTAAAAACAAGAATCAGATTCAAGAGTAGACTGCTTATTTATATATTTAACAAAACCAGCAGTTCCTTCAGTAATATAAACAAGAGCCAAAGAGTTAGATTTTGGATCAACTCGTAGAAGCTGGAAAACAAAAAATGAGGATTTAAAATTTCACTAATAATTAGAAACAACAAAGTATTATTCAAAACTAGGATATAAAATAAATAAAAGGAGTCCTATAATAACTATGTTCATTATGTATTCTTAGGAAATTTGTAAAAGTAAAGTAAAAAGAGATGTTGTAAGCTAATGTTTAAGAGTGAGAATTAACAGAAACATTTTGAATTCTGATTAATAATCAAAGGTCATTGAGAGAAAAATGAAAATATTATCAAAATCCAGTTCAATAGTTTAGCTCAGAGGTTTAAATGATCGAGCATATTTTGGCAGAGCCTCTGGCATTATAAAAAAAAAAGTTCATTAGCTGCTATAAATATATTAAGCAAAAAAAGGACCACTAATTCTTTGACGAGTAGAATAAAATATTTATTAAGAATTTTTCCTTGATGTATATATGCTGAAGATTAATAAAATAAGCTGAATTCTAGTTTGTAAAAAATAACTGTTATAAACAATAAAAATAGTAGTTATCAGAAAAATGCAATTCTTTATTCTTGAATTTAGTTATTTTATTTTGAATTGAAAAGCTCGATGAGAAATATATATGAAATTTTTATAAAGCTTCATAATTTATTATGAAGCTAATTCTTTCCATAATTTATTCAACAAATTTTTTTTAAAGCATCATATTTTATCATGAAGGTAATTTCTTCCCTAATTTATTCAAAAAATTGTTATTAAATGCTTTTTTTTTAAAGTTTTACTAACTTTTTTTTTTATTTGCATTTTCCATAAAGAAATTTATATATAAACAAACTAAATATTAAATAAATTACGGATTACTGATTAGTTATAAATTTTATTATTTTCATTTTTACTGGTTAAAAATATCCCAACTCTTGGAACTCCTGTCATCCTTCCAAGGGAACCTATGTTTCAGCAGAAAGCTTTTTGGGAACCTCTGGTTTAGACAACAATGACTGGTTTAGACTCTTAAGTTTTTTAATAAATCCTTAAAATGCATTTATTTTGGTCAAAAATATATTTCTTTTAAAAACTATAAGAGTTTTGACATCTTGAATAGTACATTTTGCTGGTTTAAAGTTTAGAACTGTTTTTTCAAAAGTTTGAAGAAAAAAAAGTTATCAAATTTCTCATGTTAGTTATGTTGTGGTTAAAAGGTAAGGGACTGCACATTGACCATAACCGCATTTGGCTCTTTTCCTACAAGTTTTGCACTCGTAATATAAACTAAACTCCATAAATATAAATTCTACTATTACCTCATCTTTTTCTTCTTCTGCTACATAGCTTGTGTAACCTCCGTGCAGAGAGTCCCACTCTGAAAATTTATTTAAAGTAAATATATAAAATTACAAGAACTAAATAAAAATACCATCTTACAAATATTCTTTCTTACTTTCAAAGTTCATGTAGAATGTACTGTTTAAAGTGGGTGTTTTTGTAAAAGATTGATCATGGAGCAATGTGTAACAGCCATGATTCCACCTCCTTACTGAAGATGAAACCTCGGACATCTCGAACTGATCTTCTGCTTCAGTGGGACATAAACGTAACCCAGTTATATGTGATAACAACAGCAAGAAGTCCTCTGAACAGAATAAATTTTCTAGCTCTTTGAGAATGGGACTTTGTTCAATATTTGAAACTTCATCATATTTCCTAATTGAAAACAAAATGAAATATAGAATAAAATGTTGAATTATAGTTCTAAAATGTATTTAAAGCAATTGCCTGTTAGCATTAATGTATAAGATAATGTAGCTTTCTTTTTTTGCTCAGAAATATGTTAAAATTGATTTTAAATATTTGTACAACACACAAAATTTTTAACTTTTGATTGCCAGGGTCGATATGTGCTTTAACATGGCCCAATGTTTCAAGCTCTGGTTTCCCTCTTTGAAAATAACCTTAGTTGAAGAGACGTTCTCTTTAAAATGTTTCAATTTCTCTTCACTTTTTTTTCTCTGTATGCCTACTTTGCTTATGCTCTTAACTTTCTTTTTCAAATCTTTGATTTTTCTTCCTATTTCTTTCATCATTAAATTGCTGTTAAATTGAGTTTTTTTTAAATATTGGAAGATTTCTTTCATATTATCCATTTTTTTTAAACATCATTTCCTATTACATCTCAATCAAAAATATGTCTTAAATCAGCTTGATATAAATAGATTTAAAAAAAAAATATACAGATTTAAATATTTATTTTCTTTAAAAGACATCAATTTAATAATCGATAAAACATTCTATAATTAGATTGTTGAATTTTTTTCTTATTGATTTCTAGTTTTAAAATTTATTGTAAACAATTGTCACTTTTACGCTTGAGTTATCAAAATTACACAAGTACTTGAGGTGTAATAAACATCAGTACATTTGAAATGACATTTTAAAAACTTTATAATGCTTTTGGGTCTTTGCCAATAGAGAGCAAAATAAATATTACTTAAATTTTGTTTCTTCTTTTTTTGTCTTTGTATATTTACAGTAAAAAAATTATGACTAAATATAAGTTTATTAAAAAAGAAACAGCATGATAAGATGTTAAAATAATACATAAGCATCTTTTAAGTGTTTTTTCTAGCCCAAATCAGATGAAAAGTTACTGAGAAATCAAACTTCAAAGAAGTCGTACATTTAAAAGATTTCTCAGAAAATATTTAAACCATTTTGTTCAAACTCTGTATTTTGACATAAAAAATTACATTCTTGAAAATTATGTAAAATTTGTATAGCTTACAATTCAAAAATGTTTAGACTGATATTAAATAATTATAAAAATTGTTTTTGCAAAGATTAACTTTGGATAAACAAACTTTTATAATTCCGTGCATTAGTTTTTCGATTCACTTAAATTCTTGATCTATGACAAAATATGTGAAAAGTAAATTAAAATTTCCAAACTTTGTACCACTCTCCTGGACAAACTATTAGAAACATATTTCCCAGATTAGGGTCCTATATTTAGAGGGTCAGATATCTGCCAAAAAAAGATATGCTTATTCAGGAAAAGTAAATTTTTGTAGCTTAATATATCGTTTGCGGTAAGTAATTAACATAGTTGAAGTGACTCCCTCAAACTATTAAAATTGAGTCCTAGATTGATAATTAGATCTAAAGTTATTCTAATTGTTTTTTTGTTTTTTTTTTGCGTGCAGTGCATGTGAATCCGTGTATCAAATGTAATGCAAATTTGATAATATAAAGCAAAATATAATGTAATATGTTGATATATATCATAATATCATAATGTAGAAAATACTCCTATTTCAGCTGAAAAGGTAGCTTCAATTTAAGTTTTTTATCCAAACTTCAGTAGATTTTTTGAGAAATTGAGGTTATTTAGGTTTAATTTTTGAGAAATTGAGGTTTAATTTTTTCATCCCATGATTTAGTTATAAATTGCTGTGATTTTTTAAAGCAATATAGCAAAATTGAACCATATAAAGTCAAGATTATTGAGAGATTTTTTATGAACTCGGAATTGAATTGAGTTCAAAAATGATAAATGATCCAAGAAAATAATGAAGCTATTTGATTATGAAGGAGATGATATTTCTTCGAACACAATTCAAAAATTTTTTTTTCTAAAAGAAGTATTCTTCTCCCCATTGGATAATGCAGTAAATTCCATTAATGACTGCTTTACTGCAGTAAGAAACTATATAACAATGTGGAAGTTACTGCAAAATATAAAGGCTTTCCAAGATAGAAAAGAACTTCTAAAAGAATGCTTAATTTTGCAGGACATCTAAACCTTGGAAAGGGAGAAAGTGATGATATTAGTGAAGAACCCTGTAAAGAAATTGAACTGATTAGAGACTTCATATACAAAGAAAATAGATTGCCAATTGATCTCATAAAGTTCATTCAAAAGAACAACTTGAAACATTTCTCTTAACTTGTAGGTAAGTTTGAGAATTTTGTTAACAATTCCAGTATCTGTAGAAAAGGGTGAGTGTTCTTTTAGTAAATTGAAAGCTATAAAAACCCATTTATGGTCTACAAAGACACAAGAGAAACCAAACTATTTGGCAATGATTTCTATCGAAAATGAAACTGTAAAAATAATTGATTTTGAAGAGTCTATAAAACGGCTTGCAGCAACCAAAGCATGAAAAAATACATTTTAATGTTTATGCTTATATACTTGTGTGTCATAAGAGATAACATTAATTAAAATATTTTAGAACACTTGAGGTGATCTTCTCATCAATTAAACTAATGACTAACTTATTTTTACCTTTAATGCATCAATTGTTATTTATCTTGTTCACCAGTTTCTTAAATTAATATTTAGGGCTGATATAGATTTGGCAATTTTTTAGTAAAAATATTGCAATTTAAAATATAAAAAGCAATTTTCTACAGCCTTACAATAATACCAGTAAGATAATTCTAGGAGAAAAAGTTATTATTATTTTAAAATTCAGATTTTTTTTCCAAAATTGAGTATAGGATGCCATTTTAGTATTGCCTAGGGTGCAAAATCATCTTTCGCACCTTAGACAACAGAAGCATAAACTTGAAAATGATTTTTAAAATCAGCTTTTTTAGACTGCAATTTTTTAATTAAAGCATATTTTTACTCAACAACAAAGTATGATTTTAGAAAGGAAAAAGATATGAAAAATTACAAATTAAAATCCAACCTGTTGACATAGCAAAGCATGTCAAAACATCTTTTGGGTTAAAAATTATTTAACAGAAGCAATATGCGTATTGACCAAAATTTAAATACTAATTTTAAATTATTTTTAATAGAAAATATGCAAAAAATTCTAATAAAAAACAACATTAAGAAATTAAACATTAATTACCTTCGGTTGCAAGGGCCTTGATGTTTCCATTCTATTTGTTGAGAAGATAGAGCCTTACAAATTTCTTCATATTTGTCTTCCTGTAAATGTCCAGAAACATAATAAGTTATGTTTTCAAAGTAAGATAAATAATATATAGTAATATAAGTTCTTCGGAAACAACATGTTTAAATTCTATAATTAATTAAAACAGTCATGCACCTATAAACTACAGTCAACTACCAAGGAAAAAAAAGATCCTATGTGCTACATAGAGAAAAAAGAGAATAAGTGATTATCATTTATAAATTACAATAAGTAAGTCACACTCCTTTGGAGGCAAGCAAAAGAAATTGGGTCAAATCATCGCGAAGAAGACAATTACAAAACACAAGTACAATAATAACCTCCACAAATTCAACATAAAAATATAGGATCCATAACACTAAAAAATAAAACGTAGAAAAAAAAACATTAATATACAGTACAAAATATTCATTGCATAATGGGACTTTTCTATTTTAAACTTATTCACATAGGGCCACAAGAAACAAAGCAGTATTTGCCTCTATATTTCTTGGAAGTAGAGTGTTTTTAGAGACAGCATAGCCGGAGAGTAAACTAAAAAGTGTGGTCTTTTTCAGACTCATTTTGGAAGAAGAAAAAAATGAACTTTGTTATCAGTTTGGTTAACAGAAACCTTGGTAAATTGAGGTTATACTTCTAATGTATATTAAATCTTGGGCTCAACGGGTTCTTTCACAAAATCCTATTGACATCAAGCTTGGATTTAAAGTCATTGAGCTCTGGCAGGCTCAAGAGCTCAAAAAAGTGAGTTTGAACCAAAACTTGGTTTATCCTTGATGTTGAAATAATTGAAAGAGGGTAAAATATTCAGTACAGAAGAAGAGAGTGCAAAAACTTCCTTTGTTTCAGGCTAACAAAAAGCAAGACTTTTAAGAGCCACTCATAAACAACAAGGGTATATAAATCATGCATATAATTAAAATTGCAGTACTTGACTGCAGTTAATCCTATCATACAAAAAGCTATAATTGTATCAATCATTTAGAAAGTTAAGAGATAAAAGTACAAAATTTCACAAAAATGAGACAATTCTTTAGATTGTTATAAAAATAAATATTTACTTGAATAAATGTCATTAGTTCTATCTCTGAGCTCTCTTCAAAACTGTCACGAATTTCTATTTGAGTTTCAGGATCCAGATAAGCATGATTAATCCAACTCTCAATATCAACCTACAAAGTCAAAAATAAAAAATTTTTAAAAATTTTAATAATTAAATTACTCTTTTTGGGCCAAAATGATTGACCTATTTAAATCTTGTGTTTGTAGCATGATTGTTCTCTTTTGAAAAATTTTACTCTTAGCAATTAATTTTAACTTATTTTAGGCTATTATAGATGAACCAAAATTACAGGCTCAGGCATGTTAAAAAATAATTTTTAATAATTATTTAATATTATTTTTATAACGATATTCCAAAAATCTTTAAGTTGTAAGGTATCCAAAATTTTACATCATTTCAAACTATATAACTTGAAATGGCAAAATACAAAGTTTGAACAAAATTAGTAAAATAATTTCTGAGTAATAAAATTTTAGGGAAATAATATTTTTAAATTTATATTTTTCAAGAGTTTTTTGCGTGATTCCTTTTAATCATGACACAGGTTTTGAAATTGTAAAGCCTTAACTTCCACGCATACCCTGACTCTCAGCAGGCAGTTGTGAAATTATTTTATTTCACCTAAAGTTAATAAAGGTTAGCAATAATGCAATAAACTAATCAATCACTCACAATTATAGTTCATTGCCCTGATACTAACATGGATTTATTTTTTTTTAAAAAAGAGTAATAATAAATAAAAAAAAGTTAATTAAAATATATCAATTAGAAATATACTAATAATTAATTTTAAAAAAAATTTGCTTTCTAAAACCTACAATTACAGATGATGGTGTTCCCAAAAATCTGAAAAGGCTCTTTATTGAGGATCTGGATGTTTAATAGGAATAATCATAAGAAAGAAACTGCTTGAAAAATAATACTAATTTATAGAATCAAATATAAACATTTACTTACAAATAAGGCACATAAAAAACTAATTATGCATTTTAAAGAATCCACATAATTTTCTAAAACTTACAGTAACTGTTGATGGTTTTTTGAAAAGCACTGTTTCTTTGTAAGGATCTGGACGTTTGATAGAAGGACCATGAAACCAACCACTGATGGATGTCCTTGTTTTGTAAGAAAGAACTTCAGAAACCTAAAAAAAGTCATTCATATAACCACTGTTCAACAAACTCTCAATTGAATTTTGAAAAGCTATTTAATTTTTAAATGAAATAATATAAGAGTGCTTAATCTGTGGCTTGGTGGTCAGTTTCTTTTACCACATACTGGGTAAATAATTAAAAACAAAAGAACATAACTTTCATTAGAAAAGTGTATTATTAGTTCTATTAAATAGTTTCAATATTTATTTTTAAGTTTTTTAATATTCTGAAATATAGAGGAACTGTTTTAAGTGACAAAATATTTAATTCTTTTGAGTTTTATAAAAGAATATTTACTTTGATTAAAGCATATTTAAAAGATTCGTCGGTAAAAATTAACCCCTTACTTCTTGCTCCCGTGAAAATGACGGGGTTAGGTTTCGCCCTCTATTTCTCGCTCCAGTGATATTTCCGGGCTGGAGTGTTCAGTAGTAACGTGCCAATAAAACTAAAACTAATTCATTTCTTATGCCCGGAAAACATTTTATTTCTCACTTTACACACAAGATGGCAGTACCAGGATATCTTTAAGGTAATTGGAGATAATTAGTTTATTTTAAACTAGATGTCAGCACTAATAAATTTTCAGGGATAAAAAAATAGGCACTTTTATGACCGTTTTCTTGGAAATTAACCGATCAGTAAGGGGTTAAAGATGTAAGTGGTTTATATAAAACGAACAATAATAATAACAGTAACATAATAACAGAACAATAATAACAGTAGCAGACTATTCAAGGCTAATAGATATTTCTATGGTCTCAGAAAACAATCTAAATCAAAACTGATCAGAATGAAAATCTACTAAATCTATATAAGACTTATTCAAGAACTGTCATACTTAACAGAAGTAAGTGAAAGCTAAAAAGAACTTGTTAATTTTTAAACGCAGAACACCAAGGTACATTTCGGTCTAACGAAACAGAATGATGCACAGAGAATCTTAAATAGTAATAAAATGCATACAAAAATGTAGGAAACCTGATGTAAATGACAAAAGCAACTGATATTTGATGGCTAGGTCATTTAGACATGATGATACATCCCCAGCAAATAAGCTAACCTTTGCTAGAATGAAGGAAAAATGACAAAAAGGAAGGCCAGTCAATTAAGTGGTTGAAAAATGCTGAAATTAACTACAGCTTTATGTAACTTAACTAAAAAAGACAATGCAAACATTAAGCAAAAAATGCAGTTTGACAAACTGCAATTTTTTTTCTTTTTCATTTCAAAAGTACTGTTCACATATTTTGTAACCATACACAATTAGCTATTTGATGTTTTTTAATTTTTAAGATATATTGATGTTCTTCTTATTAAAATGAGGAATAATTGAATTAAATCTTACAAGACTACATGGCTTAGATACTTTTTTTAAGGTGAAGATCTAGATCTAGTCAAAAAATTGACATTCACAAAGATTGATGATACAAGAAGATGCAGACCAGCTATGAAGTGGTTCGACAGCATGGAAATGGATTTGAGAGTGTTGGGTGTGAACAAGTAGAGAAATATTGCTGTAAATTGTACTGCCTGAAGAAAAAGAAGACTGTGAAAGCATTGGTTTGCCCTAGACTTAAGCGCTGCTGAAGAATTGGGTTAATAAAAATTGAAATAAAAATTAAATTCATCACAGCCCTTAAAAGTTAAAGCCTACTTCTTAAAAAAGTTATGCAGCCAATAAATAACAAGATGAACAAATAAAATTACAAATAAAAATTTCAAATGAAAATTAACAAAAATAGAAATAATTTACCTGATGATAAGATTCAGGACTAACTTCGAAAAAGACGAGATTATTCCATACTGGAACAAAAGAAGTCTTGATTTCTGTAGGCTGACCATTTTCTAGAAAGAAGAGATATTAAAATTTTGACATGAAAAAAATTAATAACTACAACTTGTTTTAAATCAATAGAAATAAGTAACATAAACTATTACATCTAAAACAAATAAAAATTCCTATTTTTAAAAATATTACAATATTAACTACAAATGTAATTCTATTAGAAAAAAAAAAAGAGCTAGTTTCTATTCATAAAATTTTAACTTAACAAAATTAAGAAGATACTTGGTAGGATAATTAACGTATCCTTATCAGATACATGCAATTTTTAAGCCATGCTTAAAGTATTTTCTTCATCAATTTTTATAACATTTATATTTATTTAATATTATTATTTGTATTTGAGTCATATGAAGACATTCATTTGCAGATACAACAAAAATTATCAAAATAAAATTACCACATTTAAATAAGTCTAGGGTACCACCATCTTTTTCTTCCCACTCAGGTACTAGATAATAAATATAAGCTATTCTTCTGCCTTCCAGTTCATCATCATGACACAGCAAATGGTCTTAAATAAAGGGAAAAATTAATTGATCAACATGATAGCATCTGATTGACATGAAATTTTAGTTCTAATGTAGAAGCCAGAGTAAACTGTTTGCGCATTACTATTTTCCAAAAAAATGCAGATGCAGTATATAGAATCTTATGAAAATCAAAACCATAAAAGAATATAGAAAATGAGAAACCGAAACATGTTTAGTGATAAACAAATACTGATATTAGCCAGAAAAAAGTTAAAGAGTTAAGTTAAAAAAGTTAAGATCTAAAAAGAAGAAAAAGAGCGATGTGTAATGTTAAAAGCAACAAATAATATAATACCTGTGTACGTATAGCAAGAACAAGACATATCAACTTTATCACTCAAAGGTATCTTTGTAACGTCTTTCATCCATTCTAAACAATTTCCATTGAACAATTTCCTTTAAAAAAAATAGAGGAATTGATAAGCTATGATAATCTGTAAGAACTATTGTATAACTAAAATGAAAACTAAATACATCTTTGGGTGCTTGTTAAATCTTCCAGTGCTTGTTAAATCTCAAAATCTTTAGCTAGTCCAGAGTCATGTTAATCAATAAGATACATGCCAAATTCAAATGCTTATTAATGAAAACACATAAATGTACTTAACCCTGTAGCAGAATCGTGACGACATTGTCACAGAATGTTACCGATTTCTTCCAGAAGGATTTTTTCTTTGGGAAATAAAAAAAATTGCTTTTCCTTTCTGCTGAAATTTTCAAAAGATTTTATCTTTTCTTCAAAATCATATTCAAAAGATGCCTTTCCGGCTCATCAGAGTGGGAAAAAACTGCCCGTGTCTTTTCTATTCTCATTGGAGAACAATAAAAAGTAAAGAATAATGGAGTAAACAATTTGGTTCTTTTTTCTGTGGAAATATTTGTTTTAATTTTTTTATGCAGTTATTACTACTAATTTCCACATATCTTTTTAAAACCGATATTATTTATCACAACTAAATCTCGAAATGAAAACACGCATTTAATAACCCCTTTTTGGAGAATCCGATTCGCGAGAATTCGTCGTCTTTTTTTCCGGCAATTACTGCTACAGATTTTAAAATTTTTTAATGTGATAATGAATTAAAAATGCAAAAAAGGAAATAATTAGTGTGTTATCTTTCTACAAAATGGGAGAATATCGCCCATAATATTAGAATTAAAAAAAACCCACATATTCAATTTTAAAAAAATGTTTTTTTTTTATCCAACTTTTATGTTTTATTTAATTTTTTTTTGAAGTTAACATTTCTATTACTTTAAATTAGTAACATATATATTTGTTATTTTTAAATATCTTGCTGAAAGAAATTAGTATTAGAGAGGTATGACACAGAAAGCTCGATAAAATTCTGCCATGGGGGTACTTAATAGTCTATAAAAAAAGACATGGACATAATTATATTAATATCAACAATTATTTTAATTATAAATTAGAAGCATTAAGTATTACTATCAAAGAAGCACTCATTATTATTAAAAAAGGAGTGTTAAGCATGATTGATACAGAACATTATAATTCACAAAGAAGTACAATCATTAGAAATATCAATAGCAAGTTGTCAGAAATATCAAAATGCATAACACTTATACCTTATCAAATATAATTGATTTTTCCTCCCTTCTAATGCTTTTTTCCCTATGTGGTTTATCCCCCATATGACCTCTTGGTGATATTTAATAAATTTTATAGGACACGCCATCAGTATTTGTGGTTCTTTATGGTATTTCTTCTCTGACTTGGCCGAGCTTATAAAAAATATCACATGAGTAAAGAATACATGCCTGGTCGGGGTTTCTCAGGAAATATAATTTATAAAAGTACTGTTTACCCCTTTTTTTGTGTGCATGTTTTGCAAAATTTAGTTTTATTAACTTATACCTTTTACTTATTATACTGGTGAAAAAAAAATTATTTATGAGCTAAATCAAAAAAAGGTAATTTTAAGTCTCACTCGATTATATGGATTGAGTTTTAAGTCTCAATTTGTAAATGTTCATAAAAGAATGAATATTTTATACCTCAATGCTTCAACACCTGCATATAAGCACCCAGCTAAATCTTCAGACTTGAAACAAAAAAAAAGAAAAAAAATATTAAAAATACATATTTAAAAAAATAACATATAATCTTATCTGAATCTAAAATCTTATATTTACCTGTTTAAATTGATATAAATCATTTATTTTTAATTCAACATCAATTTCATCAACATCATCTTTAATTTTATCAACTTCCTTCAAAGGTTGAAGGAAATTTGGCAATATGCAACAAGTAAAAGGATCAGTGACTATTTTGGCACCATTTTCTAAAAAAAATTTCAGCATATTTGTAAATAAAAATGACAACATTTCTTATATCTATCTATAAATGTAAAATCAAGCTATTTAGGATATATTTAATAAAATTTTTAAGTTTCATTTTATCATATTCCCCTTTAAAGTATTTTTACAAAAAGTTAAACTTATAATTTATGTTGTCCGAAATTTAGTGTATTTTTCCACCTTATTTTTAATAATATGCTTAGAAATGACTACTGAAATTCAGCTCACATGGACATGTTTGTCTTCAAAATGAAATATCAAAGGCCAATTTAAAATACATATTTAATTTAAACTTTAAAATATCTTCAAATTATTAAAAAACTAATGAATTCATAATTGAAATGGATAATTAATATTTAATTAATTTTATTAATAATTTTTCTTCTTCCTATAAAACCAAAAAAAAATTTAAACACACATTACTGTTTCTTTTTTTTTTTTTAGACGAAGTGCAAAATCTAATAGGAAACACTATGCATTTTATTGCCCCGGTAAGTAATAGAGTTTCTTCATCTTATGTTTTATGAAATACATAAATAGTTACTCTATACAAGTTTACATGCCTTTATTAGAAACTATCATTCTAGAGAATATATATTTTTGTAATAAGAATCTTTATATTTTACACATTCTATACTTTATTTTTAGCTCTCATTGGAAAAAGTATCACTCGGATTGAATACAGCATACATTATCAAGAAGAAAAAAAAGCTAGGAATTGTCAAGGAAAGGTAAGTATAGAGAATGATTGTATGATATATTTTGCCATATTTGAAGATTTATGATATAACCAACCAAAATCAAATTTTTTAATATATTTGATAAAATTAGAAGCCTGCAATACCTATGGAAAAGGCAATTTTAAAGAAAAATATATGTATTTTCTGTTCATTAAGAAAATACAAATAAAAGAAAACTTTTTTTTAGAAGAAAATACTTTTTTATAACCCTTCTGCTACATTAATTCTACATATTTTTTTTAATGTTCTACATGTTTTTTTTTCATTAAATAAGTTTTGTTACGTAGATGACATATGGAGTTAAGTACTGAGATATGATTTTTTTTCTTTTTATCAGTTTCCTTGAGACATCTATTACATATGGTCCTATGTATAGGTGCTACACATTTGAAAAATTATTTATTGCTAGAAAAATGAACAAAGTTTTAATAAACATATGTGAAAAAAATAACTAAACGTAAACAAAAATACTTAAATAAACAAATTCGATCAAAAAATGTTTATATGAGTTTAAAATATGTAAAACAATTAAGGATATACACTTTGTTGATATTTTTAAGTGTGACGAAATTACAAACAACGTACCAAATTGGTGAGACTTTTTCTCTACAAAATATTCAGAGAGGGATTGTATAAAAGATGAAGCTTTGTAGTCATCGTTTATATTAATATTATGATCATCTTTAGTGTCAGTTTTTACTTTCTTCGCAGTCGAAGTTTGATCCTGCGTGCGTTTTTCTGATATATTTTCCATTCCTGAAGTTAAAAGCAAATAACTATAATCAAATTTGACAATTAGTAAAATAATTTACAACATGAAGTACAAATTACAGTATGTAACAGTTAATGTAACTATGAAATACAAATTTACTTATTGAAATTTGGGTACAATTTTATTTGTTTACCTTTTTCGTTTTGTTTATCATCTTTTCACTTCACACGAGGCTAGAAGAATGATGGATTGATTGAAAATGCTTAGAAACTGTTTTTGCTGTGCTTGATTACGTTACATCCATGTGCCTGAGTTAAGAAATGTACCGCATCTAGCTTAAGAGCCATTTTCGGTGCCTGCAGTGTATGTAATACGAATAACCCTTAAGTATTAAACTTCACTTCAGTAGACTTCATTGCAAAAAAAATTGACCACTTATTTAAATTTCCTGCGTGCAAAAAAATAATTTTGATCACTGTTAATATGTCCCGCAGTGGACTGATCGTTAGGACACGGTTCTCAGCAGATCACCGAAGTCAAGCATCGCTGGCTACGGTCAGTGTGCGGGTGGGTGAACACTTGGATCAGTCTGCGTAGGGGCCGAGGGTGTGCGGTATTGGTCCTCGTTAAACTGTGCTACCGTAAAGTGCTCGACTTCGCGCGCAGGTCGTCGGGCTACCGAAGCGGTGGTGCCATCCCCTCCGCAGAGGATCAAAATTGTGATAGCATGTCTTCGGATCATCCTCCGGGATGTTTCCCAGACCATCGCCAATAGCCCATTGTGCAGCTCTAGTGCGACGTAAATCAACAACAACAACAAAAAAAAAATATATTTAATATTTTTATTCTTGAATTCAATCATGTTTCGTACGATTTTAAAATTTACTTACAGTTAAGATGGAATCTTTTTTTTTTTCGTAGTTTTTTCTTTTTAAAAAATTGCGAAATGTTCTTAGTCTTACACAGTAAATATTTCATCATAGTGACAAATTTAAAAAAAAATTTTTTTTTTCTCAGTCTAACCTAATACTTCTATTAGGGATAAATTGTTTTCTTTCTACTTTTAAATTTTTATAGAAAAAAATTTCAAAGCCTTTTTTTATTTTAAGAAATTAGAATTTTTGATTAAATATGTATGTATATAATTATCTAGTGGTAAGTTGTTAGAAATTGTATAAGTTTTTACTCTGAATATTTTAAAAAGTTAACAATTTCAAATTATGTTATTTTTTTAGTTTATTTTAAACATATTAAAGAAACTCTTTATTTAGAGTTTTATTAAAAAAACTTTCCAACATTTTCAAGATTCAAGATAATTTTTTTTAAAATAATTATTAGAATATTTAAACTAGAAATATTCCTTCAATATATCTGTGTTTTGGAAGTTATTAAAAAAAAAGTTTATGCACATGTTATCTATACTGAAATAAAAATATATGTATTCAGCTTTGTGTTTAAATTATAATAAGCCTTAAATTTTTTTATCTTATGAGAAAAACGAAAACAATTTAATAATTTGAATCAGAGAAAAGGCTTAGTTTTCAAAAGAACTGTTTTTCTTTCTAAAGAGAAATAAATTAAATAGACAAGATGGGTTTAAACAGGGAAAAAAATAATGGCTGTGAAATGACGGTAAGTTGGTTATCGTTTCGAAATTATTAGTCATTATGAAATTGATCAGCATTACACTAATTCTTGATGATGTTAATGAAACGTAATGGTGGGCGTGTTCTGTTAGATGCACCCAGGGACTAATATAGGGGACTGCCTTTATAACTATGGATGCACCGCTCGATCTAGCCACTCGTTCCGTGCACATGCGAATCTTTAGCACGAATCGCATTCCAGTGCGATTGCTCGTGTGAACGTGCAGTGAAAAAGCTACGTACTCACCTTACTACGAGAAAGCTACGATGTGATTTCCGAGCTTCCGATCGCCGTCATGAGAAAAATAGAACTTGACTGACGCAAAAGAATATACATCACTTTTTGTAAAAGAATGTATATCACCAAATCAAACGATTTTTAAAGATTTATACTTCTAAATTAAAATGAGATAAAATACTAGGAATTGAGAAAGCATTCCCTGGAGTTGACGAGCTCAGCGAGTTGGTACTAGTATTCGTACTTTTATTTACGTCGCACTAGAGCTGCACGATGGGCTATTAGCGACGATCTGGGAAACATCCCTGAAGATGATCCGGAGACAACATACGAACGTTACATCTCGTTTTACTGGGAGGACACATTCACACACCATCCTTCCGCAAATCATAATCATAATTTTGATCTAAACCACAGCGCTATAAATCTCCGATGTACCCCAAGAGGTATTGCGTTGTTGAGGGAACTGGGAGGACTTTGTGACCCTGATAGATTTAGCTTGCGCCGGTCACAAATTTGTACACTGGCAGTCTTCGACCGGCAGGGCTGAGCAAGTTGGAGTGGTTTCTCTTCATTTCTTAAGACTGTGACATACAAAGAAGGTCACAAACTATATGCCATACGTATACTCAAGTGAACTACATTTTTTTCCCAAATTTATAAATTAACTTTAAAAATAACATGTAGTAAACGAAAATTATTTTGTCTGATTCGAAATAACAATTTTACGCTATACAGATTTAAAATTGGAATTTTCATTAAAAATATAAAATTTTCTACTTTTCCTTATTTTTATTCCCGTCGGCAAATAGTATAAATTTTGGTACTGGTATTGGTTTATCTATCAATACCTGTCACATCATCACAGCGGTTCATTAACCATTTTTTAAATCTTTTTTCGCAATATTAAGGACATTATAGTAATGATAAAATATATACCAGGTTTTGGAAACGAAATTCAAATTGAAGCTCTTATACGTATTAAAACTATTTGAACTATATATATACAGGGTAACAAAAAAGTATAGGGATCACTTTTGTGATTATCTACCACTAAAATTTTAAAACCTTTTTACATATATAGCATACTGATCTAAAGCTCTGCTATTAGACTTTCAAATGCAATACTATTTCATAAAATCACAAAAATGCCTTTGAAGAAATTTGACAAAAAGCTAATTGGTCAAGTACAAGCATTTTTAGAACTTCGATGGAGCCACAGGATTATACAAACCCATTTTAAAAAGAAAGGTATTGCGATTTCACTCAGCCATATCAGTCGCATCAAGAATTCAAAACTCGGATTGATGCAAAATAATGCAAAACCAAAGAGAAGTGGACGGCAAAGCAAATTGAAGAAATCAGATTTGCAGAAGCTTGATAAGATGACATCAAAACCGGATCCAACAACACAGGCAAGCATGACTAAAGCTCTTAACGTGAGTCAACAAGTTGTAAGCTATGAACTAAAATAAAAGTTGATGAAAAAATGCCATAAAAAACCTAAATGCCATCATTTAAGAGAGAGATCGGTGTAGATTCGGAGGCAACGTTCATGGCCCCTCTACAAGCTTCACCGCAAGGACAGATGGCGAAAGTTCATTACAACTGATGAAGCTTGGATCTATCTATCTGATACCAATGCTAAATCTAAAGTTCAATATCTTAGCCGTGGGCAGAACAGGCGAGACTTGACACCATCAACCACGGTGCCTCATCCCAAAGGCGTAATGGTTTGGATGGGCATATTCGCCCATGGTGTGACCAAACCTCGGTTTGTGAAACCTGGGGCCGAAATAAATTCTGAGTATTACATACAGAAGATATTAAAGCCCTTTCTCAAGGATGATTACTGCAGATTGTACTCTAATGGTGATACTGTGTCCCATCAGGATTCTGCCCCATCGCATGCATCTAAGGTCACCCAGAAATTCCTAACAGATCAGCAAGTGCAATTCCTGAGACCAGAGCAATGGATTCCAAACAACCCTAATGCTGCACCATCCGACTATTTCCTATGGGGACATCTGAAAAACAAACTGAATAAGCGAAGAATTTCTACATTGAGAGGCCTTCAAAGAGCTATTAGAGAAGAGGTGAAGAAAATCCCCCAGAAAAGCATTTTATGGGCTTTAAAATCATGGCCGAAGCATTGTAGACAAATCTATTATGCCGGAGGTCAACATATTGAGAAGCATCGCTGAATTTATGTAATAAATTTTGGAAATAAAAACATTCAAAAATGATCCCTATATTTTTTTGTTACCCTGTAATTATAGNATAAAAAAATAGTGTTTTTAACCCATTACTGTCTGGCCACAATTGTCTATACATGAAAAACACTTACGTGAAAAAAAGTGGTAATTCAAATTTGTTTAAACCAAGTGGATACTTCCTTTTGTTATCTAGCACTTAAACTTTAAAAATATAATAGATAAAATATAATAAAGCGAAATAAAATTATTTATATAATTAACATATCAAGAAAGACAAAACTATCTTGTTTATTCAAAATAAATCTTAATAATGAAACACTTGGGCTACCACTTTTTTTCTTTTTAGAGAAACCAAACATCCCTTTTAAAAGGGCGGTTCAAATTGGTCAAATGGGTTCAATACTTTGTAACATATGTTTATTTACTCTTATAAGGTGCTGAATTATGTGGTTAAAACTTTTATTTCATAAATAAAATTTCTCTTTTTAAATATTTCAATGTTTTATTCTCTTTCTTCATAAATTATATTATTTATTTCACACTATTCAAAAAGCTAACTAATACGTTTTTTCTTATCTTATTTTCTTACTTAACTTATTGAAACACACACACACACATATAAATATATATATAAAATAAATACAAGAAAACACGAAGAAAGTTAAGAAAAACAGTAAGTTTCATTTATTGCGCATAAGCTGCAAGTAAACAGAACTCATTAGATAAGTTCAAAATGAAGATAAAACAAAGAAAAATTATAGACATATGAAAAAGGGTGGGAAAATAATAAGTAAAAAAATAACAAACAACAGTTTAAAAGGATGAAGTTTTATTTTAATGTATATATATATAAATAAAATTTTATTAAACTTTAATAAAATATTAAATATATAATAAGTAAAAAAATAACAAACAACAGTTTAAAAGGATGAAGTTTTATTTAAATAAAACTTCATCCTTTTAAACTGTTGTTTGTTATTTTTTTACTTATTATTTTCCCACCCTTTTTCATATGTCTATAATTTTTCTTTGTTTTATCTTCATTTTGAACTTATCTAATGAGTTCTGTTTACTTGCAGCTTATGCGCAATAAATGAAACTTACTGTTTTTCTTAACTTTCTTCGTGTTTTCTTGTATTTATTTTATATATATATTTATATGTGTGTGTGTGTGTTTCAATAAGTTAAGTAAGAAAATAAGATAAGAAAAAACGTATTAGTTAGCTTTTTGAATAGTGTGAAATAAATAATATAATTTATGAAGAAAAAGAATAAAACATTGAAATATTTAAAAAGAGAAATTTTATTTATGAAATAAAAGTTTTAACCACATAATTCAGCACCTTATAAGAGTAAATAAACATATGTTACAAAGTATTGAACCCATTTGACCAATTTGAACCGCCCTTTTAAAAGGGATGTTTGGTTTCTCTAAAAAGAAAAAAAGTGGTAGCCCAAGTGTTTCATTATTAAGATTTATTTTGAATAAACAAGATAGTTTTGTCTTTCTTGATATGTTAATTATATAAATAATTTTATTTCGCTTTATTATATTTTATCTATTATATTTTTAAAGTTTAAGTGCTAGATAACAAAAGGAAGTATCCACTTGGTTTAAACAAATTTGAATTACCACTTTTTTTCACGTAAGTGTTTTTCATGTATAGACAATTGTGGCCAGACAGTAATGGGTTAAAAACACTATTTTTTTATTAGTACATATTTTCACAGCCATATAATATTCAAAACCATTTAATATATTTGAGTAAAACATTGTCATGAATAATATTTAATGAAAATCATTTTTTTATTACACTTTGATATGATAAACTAATTTGTGATGTGAGAAAAAATGACATAATCAAATTGTTTTATTAGATACAGTCATAAATAATTTTTGCCTTAAAAATATTAAAAATATGCTAACAGAACGACAATTGGAACATGTAGCAACGACAAGTAGAATTTACATGACCTTCTTATGTCTTCGGACCTTTAGCTTTTCATCCATTAAACGTGCTCCTAGCAACTGATTTGGCCAGTTTCCATCCAGAGAATATTAAGATCATTAACTCATTTAGCCATTACGGCGCTTAGTATAATGAAGCCCATAATTCTGGTTCACGTGTTATACCAGCCCTAAACCGAAGGTTAATATTATACGTTTACACATACAACATAAGAAATAATTTAGATTGTGAGTAGGATATTTACTATCCAAAATAATTTTTGTTTTAATTTAAACATGCAAAGGCCAGTTTTTTTCATTAAATTACCCTTAAATAGTTTGCACAACAAAAATAATGATTGAATACAATGAACGAATGATTGAATACAATGATTATAACAATATTTTACTTAACATAGTTTTTTTTAAAGGTTTTAAAATAAATTTGAAGTAATTTTTTTAATTACTTTTCTAAATTTAATTTTTTTATTAATGTTTGATAAAGTAAAAATGATTCTGCAATAAGAAATAATGAAGATAAAACTAAATGATTCTCTTATTTAGATAAATTTTTTCCTTGCCGTTCAAAATGTCCAACAGTAAGACAAATTTCCTCAAAGATAATTGCTTTGTAAATAATCAGAAATAGTCAATACAAGTGTTTATGTAGTTAACAATATTTTAAATTCTTCTCATTTGTGGTACCAAAGGACTTAGGTTAAAAGTATAGTTAAAATCATTTTTTGAACAACATAACACTTTACAAAGCAATTCTTGCTTTGTAAGCATTCTCTTGCCGCCAAGGCGCAAAAGTAATTAAAAATATCTTAAATACTTTTTAACAGATATTTTAAATACTTTTTCAAAAGGAAATTAGGTGGTAAAAAGAAATCGAGATAATGGTTCAGTTCACTCCTTAAACAATACAAAACCGCGTTTTGCAAAGTAATTTATACTCCTCAAAGATAAATACTTTGCAAATATTCATAAATAGTCAGCACAAGTGTCTAATAAGTTAAAAAAAATATTTTAAATACTTTTTAAATGTGACACAAAAGGATTCTGGAAGTTGAAAGAAATCGAGAGGATGGACAATCATTTGAGTTCACACTTTAAACACTCTGTTATCTAAATAAACATAGTACATAAAATATTAAAAACAGTGTTCATGAAAGTGTGTAAATTGAGACACTATAGCATAGCCATAATTTTCATGAACTTGTCAGAATTCAGTATAGTCCTTTTCTTGTTTATCTTATGCTTCATCATCACTAGAGGTTTCAACATTTTCACAAAACTCTTTAAATTTCTTCTTAAAATCTTCTGAAATAAAAGAGAATAAAATTAAATGAATTCAATTTATATAGGATGCACTGCAATTGCCACCTTTCATATGCAGTTTTTAGACACTTCGTCAAAAAATTAGAGTAAAATAATTTATAATATACTAGTTAGTATTCAAGAGAGGAAAAAACAAAATTGCTATCAAACAGTTCTGAATCATTAACAAGGAAAGCGAGAAAAAAATTCATCAAAACCTGTTCTATTACCAAAGTAAACAGAGAAATAAGGCAAGATAATTATTTGAAATCATCCTGCTCTTGATATTTTTAATTCAACTGCTCACAATACTAGTTCTTCATCAAATTTTGATGTTTATGTTTAATGTGTATGCTTTTTTGCTTCATTTTTGATAATTTAATAAATACATTTATTAGGGGTAGAAAATATGTAACACCTTTAATGTTCCATATGCATTTTTGAACAAAAATAGTTTCATATCATTTAAAGAACTGATTATTTATAGCCACAGGCGGAGCTAACACCTTGAAATCCTCCTGCTGAACATTTGTGAGAGCCTGTTCCGTCTCCTTAAATAATAATCATAAAATTTCCAGAAAATTCATTAAATAGAAGTAAAAATAAATAATTGTTCGTTGGATTTTTCGAAAGAATGATATAATTATTGAAAATTGAAAAATTAGAAAATACTTGGCATTTGTTTGATCATCGATAAGGCTTCACTCCCTGCTCGCTGTCCTTGTCAACCCCGGAACTGCTTTCGCCGCAATTCCTTCGGATTGTTTCCCAATTTCAGCTCATCATTGTATACTTATGTATTTATTCTTGCTTTTTATGCATGCTGAACTCTTTTTGAAATGAAGTGAAACCTCATGGGGAACCTTTGATTTATAAACATTTCTTTCAATTTTCATGCATCACAATTTGGTTACAATATTCATTACAAATGCTACTTCGAAATTACATTTAGGTCAAATAATTCATGGAATTTTTATATATGCAAAAATTATAAATTTCAGGGCTTGGAGATGCAACAGTTTTTTTTAAATCATAAACTTAAGTAAGAAATATGTATAAAAACAAAAGAAAAAGTTAAGAAAATAAAAAAATAATTAAGCATTTCAAGCTGTGTCCATTTTCGTAAGCAAGCATTTCGAGCAAGGTCCATTTTAGTAAACATGCATTTCGAGTTGTGCCCCTTTTTATAAACACGCATTTCGAGCTGCGTCCAGTTTTGAAAATACGCATTTCGAGCTGCGTCCATTTTTATAAACACGTATTTAGCTATGTCCATTTTCGTAAACACGCATTTAGAGAGATGTCTATTTTCGTATTTTGAGCTATGTTCATTTCGTAAACTCGCATTTCGGACTGTGCCCAAAATACGCCGACGATATATATGCATTAGTGTTTCACATAATACGATAGGTACATATTAACATATTAATTAAGAAATACTTAATATGCAGTAAATGTAATGCTAATAGAGGGGGAAAAAAAGATACTTAAAATCTGTGGTTAAGAACTATGACGGAATTATATCAGGTCAAATAAATAAATATTTGCTAAAATATATAGAAATACAGGTGTTTTTCAGATACGGTAGATATCAAGCAAATAAGTAAACTTAAAATAATGTTTAGTGTGCATTATATTAAAAAGCATACCTGTTTGTGTGCATTTAACTCCAGGTTTCAAGACTAAATTACAGACGTTTTTTACAAATCCATGTTGCAAACTGTTCTCCAGATTTATTCTCGTGTAACTGTCCAGTTTAAGCAAGTCCGTTACAAATACCCAAGTCTGCCAAAACAATGCTGTGTTCCATGTTTCAAGTTCATGTGTCTCTTCATCCTCATCTGAAGCGGACCTGAAACACTTGTGCGCTGAATCTGCTGCTGCATTGAAGTTGGACATGACTAACAACTTGCTCAATTGGTTGTCTCTACGTCTGCAATTGAATTCGGAATATTGATCTTGCCAAAGCGCCAGCAGACCACCCGAGAACATCTCCAGCAAGATGATGCCCAAGCCCCACATGTCGCATTTTTCAGCGTCAACTTTGCCTTTCACGAAGCATTCAGGGGGTCTGAAATGTAAAACATGGTATACATATCGATCATGCACAGCATATTCTCAATGAAATATAAATTAAATCTGGTCATATTCAAATAGATTTTAAGGGAGGAAGAAATTTGTAGTTTCCTATGTAATTGAAAAGAAAGGGGAGGGGAGGAGCAATCTTTGCATAAGATAAATGTAGTTGTGGGTAAAGTGAGGAATATACAGTCAAACCCCGCTATAGTGAACTCCCGGATATAGCGAACGAAATGTTCGGTCCCGTGCCTTGCTATACACGGATAGTGTTATTTTTTGAGGATACAGTGAGCCAAAAAAGTGAGGAAGTTGGATATAAGGAACTTTTTTCTGTTTCCGACTGATTTTTTTCGTAATTTTTTTGTAACAATTTTGAAATTTCTACTTCAAAATAAGTACATATACCGATTTTTAAAGAGATTTATAGAGGGGAATGTAGCGATAAGCATTTTTTCTTGTTTGCTCCTTTTATCTCACTTTCCCATCCCTAAACAAACCAAGCAGATGCTTCCAACTCAGGCAGACGATGCACATATAAGGTGTCAGTGGGATCAATATGCATTTTCTGTCAGAGGGAATGAGTAATTAATCATTATTGGTCAAAGGGTTGGACACTAATATGTGTTGATAAGGCCCTCATTTCAACTCCTTTTTGATAAAAGTCTTTTGCAGTTTAAAAAATCCTGCAAACAAGTGTCTCAAATTTNAGGCAGACGAAAGGTGTCAGTGGGATCAATATGCATTTTCTGTCAGAGGGAATGAGTAATTAATCATTATTGGTCAAAGGGTTGGACACTAATATGTGTTGATAAGGCCCTCATTTCAACTCCTTTTTGATAAAAGTCTTTTGCAGTTTAAAAAATCCTGCAAACAAGTGTCTCAAATTTAACTATGGCGAGCAGTAAACGTAAAACGTTCTCCATTGATGATAAAATGGGCATAATCAGAAAAAATGAAAATGGATGCAATCAAGCTGATATTTGCAGGGAATATAAACTATCCATATCTGCAGCTTGTAACATATGGAAAAATAGGCAATTAATAATGTCTGCTCATGAAAAAAATTTAGATGGCAGAAAAAAGTTGAGAAAAGCAGATCACAAGGATGTTGAAGAAGTATTACTGAAGTAGTTCACCAATCGAAGAAGCCGCAATCTTCCAGTATCTGGACTAATGTCGATGAATTTGCTAAGCAACTTTATGAGACTACTTTTATGTGCTCGAATGGCAGGTTAGACAGGTTTAAAAAGAGGAATAACAGAAATTCAGGAAAAATTATCTGAGAGACGGGAAGTGTTTCCATATCTGATGTTAAGGATTGCTCATCAGCTACAGATTACTAATTTTTTTTTTGTACGCAAGACGAAGAGTAATGAAAAATAACACATTTTTTGCTACTACATAATATTTTTCAGTCATTTATTTGAATAATGTGTAATGAAAGGGAGGAGTTTGGGAACCATTAGTTAAATTACCTGAGTAACGGATATAGTGAACTCCCGGTTATAGTGAACCGAAATTTCGTTCCCTTGAAGGTTCCCTATAGCGGGATTTGACTGTATTAAGAAAACATATTGTGACAACACTGGGGAACATGTGATAACATTTTGAATTGTGAGAACACTGGGGAACAAACTTTCTGTTACATTTATACCTAATTTTGCTGTTTCTTTTCTGATTCGAATGTAGGAATTTCATATCTGAAAGTATTCTTGCTTGTAAAGCTACAGATTTGTTTTTGAAAAAGAGATTTTTAGTTTCTATTTTATAGAAATGTGCAAGTTTAAAAACGTTGTATATAACAAGGGATTGGATAAATGTTGCGACAAATTTCTATGGTAGCTAGGAGGCATCATCAGAATTAAAATTCCATAGGAACCCATGCCCGGAAATGTCATAGTACGCGGCTAGGGGCACTTCCTTGCTATGACCTGCTCAAAAGTACACCAGGAAACAATTCATACTAGGGAAGTGCCCCTAGTTGCGTACGATGGCAATTCCGTTCAGGGATTCTTATGCAATTGTAATCCTGATGATGAGCCTTAACTCTCAAAGAAGTTTATCGCAGTATTTATGAGACTCCCTGTTTTTTTAGGACGCTTTTGATCTTGTACATTTTGACTAAAAATGTCATTAAAAAAACTGTAGCTTGCCGAAAGAAACCAATTGCAGATTTGAAATCAGCAACGTGAAAATATGCAAGATCCGTTAAAAAATCAAATGCATCAGGAAAAAAATATTGCTCCTTAGTGTAATTAGTAAGTTTTTTTTCCAGAGAAATTATACTGAGATTGTGGCAAGACATATTTATTTTAGCTTTAGAAACTGATAAAAAATGCTTATTAACTAACTGTTTATGATCATCTATTTATTATAAACTTTCTTTTAATTTCAGTATAAAAGTGCAAAACCTCCTATTTTAGTTGAGACTGCTAGAGGGATATCGAAAGAACAGATCTAGATATAAATTGGGAATAAGTTTCAAAATTCTATTAGTTAGAGGTGAATCAAAATTCTTATTAGAGGTTTCAAAATTCAATTATTTATATATTATTCTGAGGAGGGGTTAATTGGATGTACAGGATAGGATATGATGCTCGGCTAAGTGTTGAATGATAGTGATTTTTTTATTTTTTTTATTCTGTGTTAACATCTAATGCTCTGTATTCTATAATAAAATGCCGAAAAAATAATTTATTTATTTATTTTTAACCATAGTAATTTTAATAGTGAAATTGTAAAATTGCAATTGTTCTAAAAATGAAAATAAAGGGTTTTGCCATGTATATACAATCAATTTTCATTTACAAAAAATTTCAGTTATTTCTTCTTATTTACTCAGTTTAGTAATTTTAAAAAATATTATTATTTTTTAAAATTTCTTCTACATTTTTATGACAGTTTAAAGTAGTAACAGGCATAAAAAATTAATTTTAAGAAAAACCTACCGATAATATTCGTAGAAACCAACTGCATCTTCTTTAACTTCCTTAGAGTTTTCTTTAAGTTTTGCCATATGCTGGAAATTAGCAAGAACTGCTTTGGAATTATAAGCATCATATTTTCCTCCGAATTCCAACACGATACTGTCTGGCTCTAAATTTAGGTGATAAAGATTTTTACTGTGCAAGTATTGAAGTCCCACCAATATGTCGTGAGTCCACTTGATTGCAAAACGAAAAAAATCAACTCTGTTATTGAAGCCATCGTTATATAAAATATCGCCCAATCCATTCCTCCATGAAATTTCCTGTACAACATAAAAAGGGTCCACACTTGTTGCATGAAACTTGTAAAGGCTTAAAACACTGTTATGATTTAAATCAGGCCAGAATTCCCTCTCCGTCTTGGTGAGTTCGTTTTCATCGATTCTCTTGTAATAAATGTTCTTACTCAATATAATTTTTATATTTCGATCGTAATCACCCCTGCGCAAAGCATATCTGCGATGCAATTTCACTTTACGGTTGATATCCTCGGGAGATTCCTCAAAATCATCGCAGTCGAATGGTTTTGGTGTTCTAAACAAACTTACAACGTACCACCTCAGATTGGAGTTGGTAAATATCGGAGCTATGAAGAACCAGGCGATATAGCACGGAATTGCGCAGTATTTAGAGAAGAAGCTGATGAAGTAGTTCAAAGAAGTTAGGCATCTTAACAGAGAGTTCTGAGGAAAGTAGTCACTCGGGAGTTGTTCTTTAGCCCGGATCATGTTTAAGAAGTCAGGAAAATAGGCTGTAAAACACATAACTAAAGAACAAACGAAATGTAGTAAATAGAATTGGTAGTATAATGCTGTTCCTTTCCTTGGTTTTTTGACCCCGGGAAGATTTCTGATAGTTTCACACAAAACCAGGCTTAGTAAATTTATCATTTCGTCAAATTATATCTTTACTGTTTATAAATCAGTGTTGTCTTCCTACAGCGGGAAATCTGCTGCTTTATCGATTAGGGGGAAGGTTCGAGGGGAGTGAAACGGGGTTTGAAAAATCGCGACCTAAGCGCCAAAGGTAAAAATAAGCAGGGAGCATTATCGATTGGTTTGGGGAGATGGAACTCAGAATTATCTATAAATATATCAAAGCGTTTTAATTTATATCTTGACCTTTAAAAAGTAATTTATGAAATATAAATTATAACAGACTAAGAAGAGGCACAGGAAAACTAATTCGAATTCTTTCAGGATCATTCCATGTGAAATGGAAGCCATCATGTCACAAATTTTGATAAAAATGTTTTGTGAAAAAAATTCATGCTAAAAAAGTTAAAAAAACAATTTTTTTAAAAATCTTTTAGATTAAAACTGCGATGGCGGCGTACTTGGAAATTTAACTCAATTTAACAAATAGGCGTAGCTAGAGAAGGTGACTCATGTGTTCTTAACGCTGAAAACTTTTTTTATTTTATTTACGTGGAAATTATCTTAATTTTTGTGTCATTAGAGGGAAGAAAAAAAGTGACGACTTCCTAATAATATATATATTTAAAAATTTGCTTTAAAATAATTTCTTGGAGAAATCTTTTTGCAAATTTCAAGAATTTTTTACATTAGATATAAAATTTATACTATCTAAATGTTTTTTTTTCACATAATGTTAATTATATACTTTACAACATTAAAAGAATCAAGAGAGTGCGTTTTATTTTCGGTCATTAAAAAATAAAAAATGGGTTTTCTGCTAATAAAATTTGGTTTTTAAATTTTTTTTTGTAAAACACACAATTAAACAGATGAAAAAGATGCACAGAAAAAAAAAAATTAAAATAGAACTTATTCATAAGAGTTGAGAAATTTAGCAAATGCATATGAGTGTGCACATTAATCGAGCATGTTTAAAGAATAATTAATAAAGGACCCAAATACAAATTAAAAAATAAAATCATTAAATATAAATAATAAAGGTAGAAAATAAAGAAATAAAGACAATTTTTTTTTTAAAATTTAAAGTACAGATTATACGTTAAAGTACAAAAAAGCACCCTCTAAGTAAAATTTTAAATAAACGGAGAAAACTGTTTCATGAATAATCTTTATCTTTTTGTAATTTGTCTAGCAATCTGAAAATTTGTGAAATGCATTTTAAAGCGTCCATTTTATCATAAAAATTATTTCTCTTTTCATTGCAATAAAAGTCTTTTTTTATTAAATATTTTTCTTACCATTTTAATAAAACGTTGTAATTTTCAAAAGTGTGCTCTATTTTAAAGTAGGCGATGGAAATTAGTGAATTGTATTCTTTTGGTCTTTAATGTAACGTTAAAACTTAGGTAATTTTTTCATTACGTCAAGGACTTTTTCAGTATACCATTAAGAAAAATATTTTTTTGTTCTAATGCGAAGTAAGTAAATTAAAAAAATTATTACTCAACTACAAGCGCTTATACTCGACTCAATTTTGATATCTTAAAATGAAATAAATTTAAATTTAACCACTAAATAATAAGAAATGTGTTATTAAAATCTAATTCTCGTTTGATGAATGCTAAAGTATCTACATGCCAATATATATAATCTCACAGTTTAAATGAAAACGAAAATAGTTTTTTATTTATTTATTTATTTTCTTTAATTTTTTTTTAAATATTTTATTTATTTATTTTTTTATTAGTAAAAAAAATAAAGACAGAAACTAAATTCTACTCTGTACACGAGTCTTCTTACCTTACTAATACAGGTCGTAAGAAAAACAATTTCTAGGGTGAAACTTAACAGCTCGGATTAGTGTATTTCTTTGGCAGTGGTTTTTCTCAAGTGTTTATATTTTTTTATCTGGATTATCATACATATAAATGATTATGATATGATTTAATAGTTGATTTATATAATTATACCATTATTATGATGGAATTATATTAAAATCATAACTTTTTAAGACAGATAATACAGAGGTTGGACAAAATAATGGAAACACTTCTATGCTAAATCATTTTTTCATATTTCTCAATAAATACTTAGAGTGTTATTTTAAGTATTTAGAAGCTCTTAAGTTATGCAATTTCTCATACATATCAACAAAGTTTAAAAATTTTAGAGGTTTGAGAGACTGGTAATCAATTACGAACGGAAAAGAGTGTTTTCAAACATCTTATGCCAAAAAAAAATACAGCTACAAGTTTTTAACTCATGTCAATTACATTGATTATCATATGAAATAACTGCACATAATTTCGTAAACCTAGCTTAAATATTCATGAAGATATGGGCATTTCTATAAAAAACTTATTTTTTTGCACTTGCTATAACTGCATAAATATTAAATAAAATTAAACAAAGTTTTTTAGAGTAATTTTTAATTAATAATACAAATATTATTTTAAAATTTGAAGAAAAATTGAGCAAGATATGAATATTTAAAGAAATATTTTCATATTGCGCAAGCATAGAAAATATTTAAAAAGATTTTTTCAAAATTTTCATTTTGAATCGTATTTGATACCTTATGAAAAAAGTCCGATTTGTATATCTTGAAAATTTAAAAAGTTTCTAGCAATTTTCTAAGTACTTTTCGCTGATTTGGAAAGAAATCTTTAAATGGTAAGGAGTTTTTCAAGATTGTACTATTAAACTAGGTTTTGTACTATTCAATAAGATTTATTAAAAATGGCATCGGCGTTATA